ACTTGCTTCTTTATTAAAAATTGGTTCAATACATCGAGAGTTGAACGGGAACGTATGCCTATCAATATTTTTCATTATACAAATTGCACATTCATTAAGAGAATCTAAAAGCAATTGAGTAGAATTTTTAGCCATTTGAATAATATCTGATGAACTGCCGATTTTTCCCGGCTAATCTTCAAATTGGTTATTGCAAATTGGTTATTGCAAATTGGCATTTTTTAACACAAGAAAGAGTTAAATATGGAAGCTATCCAAATTTATTGAAGATACTATGTATCATATTGAGCGAACTTTTATTGTGTTTGACTGATTTTGTATCATTATACGATAATTATATAGTCTATTAAAGTAACGATTTGCGCTCGGTCAGGAAAAAGCTTATTAATAATATTGAAAAAACATATGGGAATAGGTTCGCTATCTTTAGCTGTTTCTAAACTAACGCCACATGAACCAATCATAAATACATTTATTTCTATCTTTAATCGTAAACGTGCTTCATTGTCCTTAGTCGGTTTACCTAAACACCACAAGCGCGGATGTACTCCTAATTATAGGCTTCTCTGATGAAATCATATAGCTTGTTATTAATAATAATACATAAAAGAATAAATTCTAATGGTATACAATAAATATAACTTATTTAATCATAAATTATATTTTCTTTGTTTTGCTTTTTCTTTTACGCGTTCATCTGTTAATTTTCTTTTTTATTATACTAATATAAAATTTAAGAACTGACTCATAAACTACTATAACGTATTCGAATTTTCTATGAATATTTTGAATATTATTATTAGACTTGTTATGAATTAAATTAGTCTATATTACTTTAACGGAATTAAGTTTTACTAACACTTTCATTATTTGCTTACGCATCGTTACGTTAAAAAATCTGGAATATATAGCACCGATCTATCGTTCGGCCAATATTATTGAATTGCGGTAATTTCAAAATCTTGACCAATATCGGTATAACAATCATTTTTTTCTTAAATAAAAATCGTCAATAACTCGAAATTTTGCTTATAAATTTAAAATATCACTTTTAAAAAAACTTTTAGGTTACCGTTCTACCTTAAATCTTATTTTAACTCTAATCCTGACACAAACTAATACATTTTTTGACTTTAATTATATTTAATCTCATCATTCATACCAATATTTGGCTTTATCGGATCTTTTGTTATTGCAATTTCAATTCGATAACATTATGCAACTTTTGACATTTCATTAGCGTTAACCATCTCTACAGATTTTTGATAATAAATGAATGCCTTATACTCATCCTTTTCAACTCCAATTCCAAAAAGATAACAATTTCCAACTTTTGTCATTCCATCAACATACCCCATATCCGCAGATTTTTGATAATAAATAAATGCCTTAGGTATATCTTTTTCAACTCCAATTCCATATCGATAACAATACCCAACCATATATGTCCCTTTAGCGTTACCCATCTCTGCAGATTTTTGATAATGAATAAATGCCTTATTTTCATCCTTTTCAACACCAATCCTATTTCTATAACAATATCCAACTATATATGTTCCGTCAGCATCACCCATCTCTGCAGATTTTTGATAATAAATGAATGCCTTGTGATGATCTTTTTTAACTCCAAATCCAACTTCATAACAATATCCAACCATATATGTTCCATCAGCATCTCCCATTTCTGCAGATTTTTGATAATAAGTGAACGCTTTATGTTTATCCTTTTCAACGCCAATTCCGTTAAAATAACAATATCCAACATTATATGTACCTCCAACGTATCCCATTTTTGCAGATTTTTGATAACAAATAAATGCCTTATGTTCGTCTTTTTCAACTCCAATTCCATCGAAATAACAATTACCAACATTATTTGTTCCCCTAGCATCACCCATCTCTGCGGATTTTTGATAATAAATAAATGCCTTATGTTTATTCTTTTCAATCCATTTACCATACTGATAACAATTTGCAATGATGGTTTGAACTGTAGAATTGGTTTGATTATTTAGACAAAAATTAATAAAATTAACTGTATTTTGTTTCTTTTTTATTAGAATTTGTTCTAATGTATCAAGGACCGTACAGGAATCTTTGCCTTTCAATTTTTCTTCATTATACAGATTACACAATTCTTTAACAATTTCATTAAAAAAATTTTGAGAAAAATCCTGCGGCTTGTTATCTTCAAAATTCATTTGAGTAACATTGTTGACCGATTGAATAATATCTGATGAACTGTTTGCTTTTTCTGATTGCTTTTCAAATAGGTTACCGTAATTTGACATTTTAGCGCAATGTTACGTACGTATGTACGTATGAGATGCATTAAATAGATATGGATCACATTGTGCCACATATGTATTGTAACACTTAAAATTACGGACATGTGATGAATGAATATCATATCAGGATTGTGCAAAAAATTAGATTTTCTACAGCCTGATTAGATGGGCTATACTAAATTTGGTCCGACATAAATCTTATCAGGCTATCCGGGATTTTGAAGTGATCGGGCTGGTAAATCGGAACTTAACTACATTAATGATATCATGTGATACGTACGTGAGTAGTGACAGCAAGTCGGTCGCTCCACAATCCGGGATGTCGTGTAACCTACGATCGGCTTAGTCGAAAGAGGCGGTTATATTTGGCGAGTGGGGTTATTCTTGGTCGTAGGTTTGACTTTCTTTACTTGCACAGGGGATCAAATATTAACAGTAACGTCTATACTCTTTATCTACAAATTGACACAACAAAACCACGGCTTGATCCTTCCTTTTAGACTTCAAACCGGAACAAAATAACCACAACTATTCACGGTACGTTGGGAGAGTTGGACAAAAACAACCACAGTGAACCTCAGTGCGTCAAGAATTAACCGGTATTAGCGGCTCCCAGGTGTCCACAAACCATATATTTTCTTTTTTTTATTTTATTTTTTCTATTATTAGCATTAGTGATATGATAGTCTACTATTATTACTATACAACCTAAGTACGTGAAAAGGAGTAAAGATCAACACTTCTTAAATTAGAATTTTTCTTCATAGAGAGACACATCTAAGCTGATTCGAATTTTATCCGTTTTTCGATACGAATTTGTATCGCGTTGTTTATTCGAATCTGTACAATTAGAAAATTAAAGTAATATAGTAAAATTTGTAAAGCATAGCCATTATATACGCAGCAAAGGTCAAAAGTTATTTAAGACCTATCTGTTCGCTTCAATAAAGACAACTCAATGAGAGTTGGTAGAACTCATTAGGTCCAATTACCCCCCCCCCCCCCCCGATAAATTAAATTCGCATAGAGTTAGTAGTCTAAACCCGTGATCCCGAAGTAGAGCTTCGTGACGTAATATAGAGCTCTAATCTAACACCCTAATAACTCGGACCAAGTCTTCCACGCCTCTTTCGTAGCCTGCCAGATTATGGTTAGATAGGGTTTAGTAGTTTAGAGCAGTGTCTGAAATTGGGTTGCGGAGTCTGCGGACCGCCGCAAAATTTTAAATTCCCGCAACCAAAATCTGAAGTACACATGCAGATTCCGCATATAATTTGATTAAATATTAATGCGCGCAACTAAGCTTTTATAAGTTTTCATAATCCGCAAGACATTGGTTGCAGTCGCAACGAATTTAAAAAATGAAGACCTTTCACTATGCCACTTAGTGATAGATCTGGATTATTTATTAGAGCGTATTTATTTAGGTACTTAAGGGTTACATGGGTCAAATTAGTGTTTTTATTAGGAAGAGAATTGTTAATGGCCTTTAATTATAATAAAAGATTCAGTATTACAACAAATTCGATAAATGCGACAAATTTGATAAATTCGACAAATGCGATAAATGCGATAAATCCGATAAATTCGCGATAAATTTCATTTGACCCCGTGATCTTGGGTCATACTTGGGTCGCAGTAGGTAGGTCGAATTCCAAGGCTAACCGTAGTAATATTTGAAAACTTTTAAAATATAATTTGGTTTTATTTTTAACCTCTAATTTTTTCTTATTCATAGGACGGACAATTTCTATTTATCTTTAGTGCTATCGCAATTGCATAAATCGCGATAAGCTGTTTTATTCTTGATTTTCTTTTTATTTAATTAATATAGGATATTCTCAGGCATTGATCAGAGCAAAGTTCTAATTAGTCGGAAGCTTAATAAGCTCAGTGAGTTACCATTTCAATGAACGAAATCTGGAGGTTTTTCAATTTTTAATATGTCACTAGCTAATCACATCGAGGAAGCTGATCGAGAACACCCTTAGTCTCTACTCGATGATCATTTATAAATTCTAATTAATTTCCTATTAGTATTGATTTTGTATATGAGATGGTATTATTGAATCCGCCTTACTTCACCGATAATCATTTCATCGGCATTTCACTTAGCGACATAACATTAACAATTTACAAAAAGTATATACTTACAACTAATAAGGCGAGACCAACAGGATTCTGTGTTTTACATTACCTCCTCTCCCCTCCGGAAGGGGGATTGGTGGAAATTTCAAAAAAAAAATTTTCCGAATTGTTCCGTGACTGTATAAAATTTTGCCGAAATATCTCGTAGTCCTATGTATATTTATCTAAATTTTTTTACTATGAGGGAGAGGGGGTATGTAAAACACAGAATCCAGTTGGTCTCACCTTAAACGCTAAGTTACTCGATGAAGTAAACAGTATCGGTATTATCAATTAAGGTTTTTGGTTTTTATTGCATTGATTTGGTCTATATGTAACGGTTATTCATTATTCTATGACAAGCATTTATTTTTTTATATATGTTTAATTAATGTGAGTATATATACTATTTATCAACTATCTAAATTTTTTTTGTAAAAATAAATTTACAGATTCAAGTAAAGATTTTAAAAATTTTATAATAATCTTTATAAAATCCCGTTCTGAAATCACGGGTTATGAGCTAGTATGTAAATATAGATATTTGACAATTAATATTACTTAAAATGTTGTTACTTTGAATTTTTATTGAGAGGGTTTATCTTTTTTAATTATTTGCCAAACTTCATAATCTTCTATTTCATACTTACATTTTGATTGTAACTTTTCAAATTTGCTAAAATTTGGATGGCTATAATGAATAAATCTCTGACAAATATGTAACCAATTAGAATCTATATATATATCATGACTATCATTGTTACTAAATTTATATTTTTTGTTCCAACCGAAACATGGGCCGTGTAGAGAATAACATTTTTCAACTAAGCAATTATTTCTAACACGCGAAATGTTAGAGGTATTAAGATCATTTTTGTTATTGAAGTAAAATAAAAAATTGTTATCTGATATTAAATGATTATTATCTGATACTAAACAATTCGCATCTTTTTTTTCTAATTCATGAGGTTTCCAACTCAATTCGTTATAACCACCAAATATTCCTATATCCACAATTTTAACAAGTGTTAAGGTTGATCCTTTATCATCACATAGTTCATGAAATATCTGCGCATCAAATCCATCTCGTTTTGTACAAAAAAGAAGCTTGAAATCATAAGGATTATTATTAGATTCATAGTACAAAGATTCATTTGAAATTTTATCTCGAATTATTTTCTCATTATTAATTGGCGAATTATTTTTCAAATCTTTCTTATCAATCCAACTTGCAATAATATCAAAATGCTGTGGTCTAACAAGAAACATGTGATTAGGTAAAATGTATCTTCGTGGTAAAATTGTAGTTTCTTGTGGTGGCATCATATTATAACGAAGATAATTAAGAATTGGTTCTGTTGATATAATATTTTTAAGAAATTCAATATTTCTCATAAAATCATGTAGTGGCATTTGGTACCAACGTATTAGAGGGATGCAATCATGGATGGTCTTTTCTAATATATCATAATCTTTTTTGCTCCATTTTGTAATGTTTCGAAGGATAGTTGAATTTTGAGCAATACCCCATTTCAATAAATAATTCCAAATACTTATTTCATTTAATCTTCCCAAATCATCTCGTTTTAGTACAAGAATTAGAATTGATTTATCTAATCGAGTAAATCTTCGATGCTCAAATAATAAATTAGGATTCGTACATATAAGATGAAGGCACTGATCATGAAGAGACTTAAATGCATCATTATTAAAAATAATTTGCACTACGCTAAATATATCAACCTGCATATATTCTTTTAACTTTTGATCTATAAAGTTTAGCATATGGTTAAAAAATTTATGAAGTTGCATCTGATTAGCTATTACTAATAAATCCAAAATCTCGGCGCAATTCAAGCTATCCAAAATAATTCCTGTAAAACCTTCGCTTAAAAATAAACGGTCTGTAATTATATTATGCTTTAATACTTTAGCAGCCATCATAAGTTGAAAGACTTCATCTTTATCTAATTTCCCCAAAATAATTCTAGCATTTATTAATAAATTATTAACGGTTTTTTTGTACTGAAATTCATTGGCCGCTATCAGTAATTGTAAAATCTTGTCACTATTCAATTTTCTTAAAAAAGGGTTAATAGAGTCCGTGCTTGATAATATATTATCAAAAAATTTTCGAATTTCAGTTCTATTATTTGTTTTCATAAGATGTAATACTTCATCTATATCTAGTCTTTCTAAAACTGATTTAAAATCAGATCTATATTGTAAATTTATACTGAAATTTAACTCAGTTATTTTCGTTATAAGCTGTAAAACTTCTGTATCATTCAATTTGCTTAAAACGATTTTAGTGAAATTGGCCCTCGCTAATAAATAATCTACAATTTTGCCAAGTCCTAACTCTTTGGCTGCTTCTATTAATTGTAGAATTTCGGATCCATTCAATTTGTTTGTATCAATTTTAGTAGTATACAAATATCTTTAAACAAAAAAATAAAAATAATTTAATTTAATTTCAATTTCAAATTTGAAGGCATTGTAATAAATTATAGTAATAAATTTTTTAATAAATACCTCAATGTTATTCTAAATATTGTTGCAGAAATATTACTAATTGAAAAAGTTTTCACGTCCTTTTTAGTGTTATTTTTATCAAAGAAAGCAGTTTTGAAATAAGATGATCGAGAACTTAGAATGAATGAATGTGCGTAAAACTCCTTCATACTATTTCCTTCACCAGCATAAATAATGACATCATAACCTTTTTTGGTTTGAAGTAACATTTCATTAAGATCAAAAAGTTCCTTGTACGCATCGATTTCTTCTATTTTTTGACTAAATGAATATAGAGATGGTAAATATCTTTGTTGAGACATTATTTTATCTTTAGATAATGGTTTATTATAAAGATAATAATTAATAATGTCTTGGTGCAACTCCGTTGATCTAATTGATAAGATATTTTTAAAAAATTTAAAAAATTCAAAGTCTTGTAGAATTTCATGTAATAATATTCGGAACCAACGAATTAATGGTATAAAATCGTTTATAGCATTTTTCAATATAACGTAATCATCGTTATTCCAAGTTTCAACCTTTCTACCTTGAAGAATAGAATTTTGTCCTATACCCCATTTAACTAAATATTTCCATATATTAATTTCACTTAATCTTCCTAGGTCATCACGTTGTAGTATAAGCATTAAAATTGATTTGTCCAATTGAGTAAACTCTCGATGTTCAAATAACTTATAAGGATAAATACATATTAAATGAAGACAAGGCTCTCGGAATGGTTCACATATTTCATATTGGAAAACTAATTGCAATACACCAATTGCATCATTTGTAATGAATTTTTCTAATTTTTGACTAATATATATTATAATCTTATCTGTAACATCGTGAAGAAGTAACTCATCAACTGCCATTAATAGATTTATAGCCTCAACATAATTCAACTTTGTCAAAATTATTTCCGTAGTATACAAATATCTTTTAAGGATTTGTTGACATAATTAATAACGATAAAATTATCAATAAATTGCAAGAATGTAAAAAATTAAATACGTACTTCAAAATAATTTCGAATATATTTGCTGGAATATTTGGTTTTGTAAAAACATAATAATTTCCTTCTTTTTTAGCCCAACTAGAAGAAAGTGCCACATTAAAGTAAGATGAACGAGCACTTAAAATAAGAGAATGCGCATGAATCTCTTTAAAGCAATTTTCTTCACCGGCACGAATAATTACATCAAAATTATACTCATTTTGAAGTAACTTTTCATAACTATAGGCAAGATCTTTGAAACTACTTGATGCCATTGTTTTAAGTAAAGATATTATAACTCATAAAATGGTCCGACAAATTAGCATTTATATAATTTTTTTTTATATTTATTACTGTATTATGTGCATTAATTTAAATTATAACATATTGGTAAAACAATTTGTATCACATTCGGAGATTAACGATAATAGTAAATTTGGTAGTTTCAATCCCGGAAGTTCAAGCTATTTCGGTGACGATCTTTACGCATTTTGGGACTAAGAAAGTGACAAAGTAATCATTATTGCGAATCATATGATTTTACAAGGCCACATGTTCAACTGTTGTTTTAGCCTTTCTTTGTATGGGTTTTTGTGCTATATTCCTTATGCTACGTATCAGGTTTTCTCTAATTGCGTGATTGCCATACGATTGTTGAAATCTGAATTAGCAGTGAGTATGAATGCAAAGAAATAATAGTAGCGTTTTTCTCGCTAATGAAGGAGAATATTTAAAGACCTTTTTATTAGTATAAGAGGTTATCTTTCTCTTCGCTATTATCTTCGTGATAGTTAAGGCTGTAGGTTCTATCATTCACTCCACTTCCACTTGTTTTTGCTTAGCGAATTTATGGTAAGAAACTCAATTAGTAGGTGACTGTAGCGTAAGAATCTATGGAGAAATAGCATTTGTGCTTGCTACATTCCTTTATGCACATATGGGGTCTTTGCCTTGAAAATGACCTTACGGGCTATGTAGATTTTATGAATAAAAATTAACATTTCTAGCCATCTAATAATCCAATTCAAATAATTTTTTTTTTTATATTATCGAACTAACTAAGCTCTATAAAATAAGTTGAATTGGATTACTGGATAGCTAGAAATTTTAATTTTTATTCATAAAATCTACATAGTCCCGTAAGGTCATTTTCA